AGCTAATACAAAAGAGTCTTAAACCTACATTCCTTTTACTGGCCAGTAGGGGGAGACTCCTGTGGTTGCAAAAAGAAGTCCAGTTGTAATTACGCAGGAAAACAGATCATGACTCCCTTTGTGACCAAACTAAACACTTTCCTGAGGATGTATTAGACTGAAATGCTAGTTTCACACCTTAATGAATACAGAGCAATGCTTATTTTGTTTATTATGGTCAGCCTATGTTAAAAAAACCAAAAAAAAACAGAAGGTGCAGCATCCCATGATCTGAGTATCAGATCCGGCTTGTCAAGTCGAGTTGATGCAATGCTTATGGCGGAGAAATTCTCTGTTTGAGAATTTACAGCAGGACTTTACACACCAACAGTAATGTCACAGGAGCCATGTGCATCTTTACTCAAAACTCTATGATCAGTGAACATTTACTTGCTCTGAGGAGCGTGATTTGAGCATTTGCTAACAACTCAGGGTTCCCACGACAGAGAGCCCGAGCCAAAGCTCAGTGGTACACATTACATTCCTCTGAGGGGTCTGTCCCCAGGCATAATTTAATGGCCAACTTGGCCATTAGAGCCAACTCACTGTTCCCACAGATGTCCCCATGGCTTGGCACATGGGCATCCATGCATATGCACACACACTCTCCTTTGGCACAATACACTTTTCCAGGCGACAGAATTTATGGGCTAATAATGGCCTGCTGCCTAACTATGGTGTGTTTGCATGTGTCTGTCGGCATGGTAACATGTATGCCGCTCACATGTTGACTGAATCCGAAATCCAAGGACTGTGGGCCAAAACTCCCAACTCATACTTTTCACACGGCACAGCCTGAGATGACGTCAAACATAGAGCGATGGGAGAACATCTACTGGCTTGTCTACCTGTCTTGGTAAAGTGAGTTTAAACCAAGGTGCCATCTAATTACACGAGCTACACCAATATTTTGCAAGTCTTGTCGAGAAACAGTCTCACAAGTCGCAGACAGGAGCTGATATGCACTTCTTCTACTGCAGGGTATTGCCTGATTTCATGGCATTTTAGTTTTAGAATAAAATTAAAAATTTTAACTATCGAGAGCTGGAATTAGGAGACTGAGGCATGGCAGGTTTCATAGATGATGCAATGAACCAAAGTGGATTTTCTGCACCATACTCCTGTACTCAGGGAGTTACTAAAAGAGCCTCCATACCTTTGGCAACCACTGAGTCCAGATGGTGGGAATCTGGAGCACTGGGCGGGAGGAATGGAGCAATAGCGAGGGAGGGAAGGAGGGATAGAGGATGAAAGGGAGTGGAAGTAGGAAGAGGGAGGGAGCATGAGCAATAGAAGGC